GGTCTTTATCTTCATACGGAGAGCAAAGCGGCAATACAAACTACGGAAACTTCAAAGTGTTTTGGGATTCATTAAATCCCTACAAAAATTCGGGCGGTCAAAGGGTGTAGGGGACTGGATACTATGAGCTGGATCACTACCTTACGTCGAATTTAGCCGTTACGATTGCACGTCCACCTCAACCGCCACTCAATTTTGATGTGTTAGATTGGTGGTCAAGAATTGAAGGAATTTTTCCTATTCCATGCATTATGGCCAAGGAGATCTTTGTTGTCCCAGCATCTACAGTCGCGGTTGAGCAAGCATTCAGTGAGGGCGGCTACATGCTAGATCCACGACGGTCGAGGATGACGCCTGATAATCTTCAAGCACAAATGTTACTGAGTGATTGGAAGAAGGCCGAACGAAGGATGCAAACTGCTATGCTCACTTCGAATGAGGAGGATGACGACAACGACGATGCATCCGATTTTACGTCGTCGACAAGTGGAACCGGGGGGGACGTCGAAGACGAATACGAGTATTAAAGGTATGCAGCCAAGGTATGTGATTTAGAAGAACCACGTGGACTTTGATTCCCAAATAAAGGGATACGTAGGCACCTTATTTAACATTATTAAGTTCGAGTATAATTTTTTGGCATCAAAATTTTTCATCGTACACGATATTCGAACTTAATAACTGTTAACTAAGCTCAAGTCCATTCCATTAATAATTTTTTTCTTTACACTTATTTTTTAAGTATATACAAACTATTTATTCAAATAAACATTAATATACATTAAAATGAAAAAAATGAAAAAAAAAAAAATTAAAAACCCGTGAACCCGGCGGGCCCGGCCCGAACCCGGCTCAACCCGCCGGGTTTTTGACCCGGCGGGTTAGGGCTGGTTCAGTGAACCGGCCCTTACTTACCAGCGGGCCGGGCCCGGTTCACTATATGCTAACCCGCCGACCCGGCGGGCCGGGCCGGGTTTCGACCCGGCCCGGCAAATGGCAATGTCTAATTGTATCTGCTCCCCATTAACCAACATCGACTGTCCACATACCTAGCTACCCCATTTTCACTCCCATCATGAAGTACCTACCCGTGAAACAAGAACTGATACGTATAACTGTAGGCGCCGTCGTCGGTGCTGTGGACCCTATTTACCCATTTTCACTCCCAGAAGTTTTTACCACTTAAGAAAGAACTACTGCGTATAAGCGTTGACGCCGACTAGAGAAAGCGCCATTGATAGGATAATCGGGTCTGTTGTTATCTCAACTATTGTGGTTGTGGTGAAGTACTTCAGAACTTGTGTTGTGTGTAAATACTAAATAGACATGTCCAAACCGCGCTCGACCCGGTGGGGGCCATCCTTGAACCAGTCCTTCCCGAGGTACGTGTCGGGTACACGACTCGGTGAGCCAGGAGCTGGTGACCTGGTGGCTGGCGGGCTAGGCTGGTTCTTGTCTATTCCGAGCCGAGTCGGCCGTTTTGGAGAAAAAAAATATTGACTCGCCTTTGTTGAGATATTATAAATTAATATATCAAATAAGTTGTAGATCTTTTGGGTTAAAAATGATATTTTAACTTGCAATATTTCAATTAAGTTGCAAATGTATCCGTTATTTTGAGAATGAAAGTCCTTGTAGTTCCCTTATTGTACTTACCTGGCAGGATGTGTTGTTGAACCGACCGGCGCTATAGTTATTGTAGTCGTAGTCGTAGTCGTAGATCTGGTAGTCGTCTGCAGTTCCAGTAACACTAGTGAAATCAGAACAATCACCTTCTTCCATATAATCTTTGTTAGTTAGCATGGCCATTTGCATCTTTTGACCGGTTTTCCTCCAATCACCAAGCAACATTTGATTCTCCAAGTTTTGCGGTGTCAACGTCGACCGTCGTGCGTCCAGTGTATACCTCCCTCGCCGAATGCTTGTTCAACCGCCAAGACCGGGACAACGAAAATCTGTCTGGCCGTATTGAATGGAATAGGATAAATGCCGCTCATTTTTTTTTTACCACCAATCCAAGATGTCGAATTTGAGTGGCAAGTCTGGTGTACGAGCAATGGTAAGTCTCAAATTCGACGAGAGGTAGTGATCGAGTTCCTGATATCCACTCCCCATTGTCATTGGGATAGAAACACCAGCATGAGAAGAAGACCATCGATCCCCAAAGTTTGAGGCTTGGTGCGTCGTTTGTCCAGCATAAAACCCATAATAAAAAGAAATTTTTGTGCTAGCTTTACGAGCTACCATGAGTTAGCACAAAAATTATTTTTGAAATGTTTAGGGAAACAATAATGGCAGTGGGGAAAGTGTAGCGCGGAAGTGGGAGTTCATACATATTATCATAATAAGTGTGAAGTTGGTTTAGCAAACCACATTCTTTCAGTGATGGGTCTAACAAACATACAACAATTTTATCTTGTGCTTGCTTAATGTATACTTGTAATGTACATAATATCATAATAAGTGTGAAGTTGGTTGAGCAAACCACATTCTTTCAGTGATGGGTCTAACAAACATACAACTAAAAAAGTAACGACAATGTAATAATAATAATAATTTAACCATTTTGATTATATATTTCTAACAATTTTGCCTATTTATCAAGATAATTAGTATAAATATATTTAAAAGACTACATTACGAGTATACATTAAGCAAGCACAAAATAAAATATAGTATAATACACTAGAAAATATGTTAGTATCATTTTGAATTGTATGTAAAAATTCCATTATTGCTTCACAATTTATCCAATCTTGCGTAGATACGCGAACGTCACAGTTGTTACGATAAGAACTTGAAGAAAAACATCAAAACACCTAAATAATCGTTCGTTTTTAACAACATATTATAAGTAGAATTCATCTGGTAGGAACGTGGAATTTTTGAAGTTTAATACCTTGTCTTTCCTAATATTTTTTCCAAGTTCTCATTTCTAGAGGAAGATGGTACAAGTAAAGAACTCAAATGAAAGGCTACCAGTGGAATCTGAAATCAAATGACACAAATATTCAACAACCAACCAGAGCACACAAGGAAAATCCCCACAGATTTAAACCCAAATCAAAAGGCACCAGATCAGCTAAAGTTCTAGTATGCATGCATATGAACCATAAATCTCCATGATTTAAAATTAAAAAAAAAAA